GACATTTTGCAGGAAAACGTACGACCATCTGTCCGCCAACTGAAGCTCCGCAGAGGATGGGTGATGCAACAGGACAATGACCCAAAGCATACAAGTAATTCAACAAAACAATGGCTGCAACAGCACAGAATACGCCTTCTGGAGTGGCCCAGTCAGAGTCCTGACCTCAACCCGATTGAAATGCTGTGGCATGACCTTAAGAGAGCGATTAACACCAGACATCCCAAGAATATTGCTACACTGAAACAGTTTTGTGAAGAGGAGTGGTCCAAAATTACTCCAGATCGTTGTGCAGGTCTGATCTGCAACTACAGGAAACGTTTGGTTGAGGTTATTGCTGCCAAAGGAGGGTCAACCAGTTATTAAGTCCAAAGGTTCACATACTTTTTCCTCCCTGCACTGTGAATGTTTACATGTTATGTGCAATTAAAACCATGGCAACATCTAATGTTTGTGTAGTATTATGTTCAGCAGACTGTGTTCTTCTATTGTTGTGACTTAGATGACGTTCAGAGCACATTTTATGCCCAATTCATGCAAAACTCCACGTAATCTCAAGGGGTTCACATACTTTTTCTTGCAACTGTATACACATATACATACACACATATATATATATATACACATATATATATATATACACACACACACACACACACACACACACTGTATGTTAAAATATGTTTTTATTACAAAATATATGAAAAATATTTTAAAAAATAAATTTTCAAATATACTATATGTCTTTAAAAATAAATTTAATCTACATTTTTGGAACGCATTTACAAATATATGTAAAAATATGTTAAAATTACTTTTTTATATGTTAAAAAAAACTGAACATATTTAACCAATTCAATAGCGGGCAATTTTACACCTTCCTGCCCAGGCCAGTTTTCAGGTTTCAGCACTCTCACACTTTGAATGACAATTGTGCGGTCATACAACATTGTACCCAAACTAAAATTTTATCATTTTCTTCACACAACTAGAGCTTTCTTTTGGTGGTATTTAATTACCACTGGGGTTTTTATTTTTTGCTAAATTAACAAAAAAAGACCAAAAATTTTGAAAAAAAAAGTTTTTCTTTGTTTCTGTTTCTTAAAGTTTGCAAATAAATAATTGTTCTTCATAAATTTAGGCCGAGATGTATTCTGCTACATGTCTTTGGTGAAAATAACCCAAATTAAGATGTATTTTTTAGTTTGTAGGAAAGTTATAGAGTTCACAAACTATGGTATAGATCTGAATATTGATCAATCCTGAAGTACTGACAGCCAATCTAATTTCTTGAGGTCCAAGAATGTCAGAACAGTACAGATATCCCCCAAATGACCCCTTTTTGCAAAGTAGACAGTCCGACGTACTTCATAAGAGGCATGGCGAGTTTTTTGAAGTTGTATTTTTTTGTCATAATTTTTCGGAAAATGAAAAAGTTAACATTAGTTTCACTATTTTTTTTTTTACATACAGTGGGGATCGAAAGTTTGGGCACCCCGGCTAAAAATGTGTATTAATGTGCATAAAGAAGCCAAGGAAAGATGGAAAAATCTCCAAAAGGCATCAAATTACAGATTAGACATTCTTATAATATGTCAACAAAAGTTAGATTTTATTTCCATCATTTACACTTTATGCACATTAATACAAATTCTTAGCTGGGGTGCCCAAACTTTCGATCCCCACTGTATTGTCACCAGTGCAGTACAGTGTCATCATATAACTGGCATGGCGGTGATCAGGGACACTGACTGGTGACAGTATGAAAAAAAAAAAAAAAATTATATATATTTTTTTTTTATTAAATTTTCTTTTTTTTAAGATTTTTTTTTCCTATTTCACTATGACCAAAGTAGTACAATGTTACCATAGTAACATTGTGCTACTTTGGGGAAGTGATCAGTATTTTTTTTTTTTTTTAACACAATTTGCTTATAGCAAAGAATTACTTTGCTATAAGCAAGCATTTACCTGAATGACATCGATTCATTCAGGGTTTTTTTTTTTTCTTTTTGTGCTTAGCTGTGATTTGGCCACAGCTAATCACATGACATGTGCATGTGATTAACTGTGACCATTCACAGCTAGCCAGTAGTATACAATGGATGGCATGAATGAAGCCATCCATTGTATACAACTGTCATGTGACCTGCTGTGATTGGTCACAGCAGGTCACATGGTACTGGCAACGGGGCCGATACTCAGAATTGTCATCAGCCGTGTCCGAGGTACACGGCCGATGACAGATCACGCCGCAATCTGCGCATGTGCGGGAGGATGCCATATGGCGTCCACCCGGAACACTGATGACATTTGCGCCCGCCATTCGGCCATAGGGTGGGTGGCAAATGGTTAAAAAAAAAATTTTCTTAAATATCTTTCATATATTTTGTAATATATAAAAAATGCATTTCAACATGCAGTGTGTATGTGTATATATATATATATATATATATATATATTGTGAGGGACTAGCTCAGTAGCAGATTGTGCTTGACCCCCTGGATGGGTCAGGGCACCGTGAAAGAGGCTCAGCACAACAGCAGGATCTTGGTGAATAAAGTGGTGCTTTATTTACAAGTCCAGTGAATACACAGTGCACATAGTCAAAACAGCAAAATAGAAAATAAAGCCTTACCGCACTGGGAGTCTAACTACAAATACAGGTTGCCTATCGCTGTTCACACAGTCTAAGATCACACAGGTTTTCTCACCACAGGATGGTTTGGTTGCTCCCCAGTCTGTCCTGCACAGCAAACTGGTTCCAGGTTGGAGCATTCTCTCTATGCAGCCTGGGAGTTTTATAGAGCCCAGAGCCCTTAACTCACTACACCTGAACTCATTAAATCATTAGTGAGCCAGCCAGGCTCGCTACACAGCACCAAAGGAGAAACAGTCGGTGTATAACATGAACCTGGGACAAATGTACCTCCCATCCTGGACACATCCCTTAGTTCTACCTGACCTCCTGTCACAATATATATATGTGTATTGAAATATATATGTATTGAAATATATTTTGAATTATATCGAATAAGGACAAAATTGTAGTATTTCAAATATATGTCAATATATTTGGGAAGAATATTTTTAAAATATATTTCAAATATATTTTTATTCCATGTGAGTACCTCTGATAGAATCCAGTTTAGAGGTTTGACAGGAACTGTCTCCGGACACCCCTACCTGAGAAGAATGCCCAGGGTCTCAGAGTCCCTGAGGAAGTTGGCCCATTGGCAATGACGACTTCCTGCCAGTGCTACCTGGGGATTCATGCCTGCTAAATATTCAGACTATGTTTTGTGAAATATTCTGGTTGTCTGTGTTATTCTGTATAAAGTGTTGATTTCGTCATGCCAAGGACTATATCTGTTAAAAGGGAGAGTGTAGGCAAGTGCAGGTTGCTTATTTTTCCAACCTTTGAGTGGCAGTGTGCCACTTCTCCAGGTGGAGAGGAGTTCTATAAAGAAAATTGTCTCCTCTTGTGGGCTCCAGCAGCAAACTTGGGGAGGAGGAAAGTTGTCTGAACATTGAAATCTTGTCAGATCTTTGGGGCCATCTTGACAGGGAATTGATAAATAGGGTGCCCTATGACATTTGGGTGTACCAGAAGCATGTGTGTGGGTGTCCTGGATAAATAGAGTAGGGAAAGATTCTGGATGAGAAGGGACAGGTCAGGTTCCTCCCCAGGGCAGTTTTTAATATTGATTGAACCCTGGGCAATCATTTTCTTGCCCCCCCCCCCCCCATGCAATTTCACTCTCCACCTTCTCTGAAACAAACAATAAATAGCAGCTAGACTCAAAATTAGTTTACTGCAGCAGATCAGGCAGCGATTGCCACTGGTTGCCAGAGGTTACAGCATATCATTGCTGCTCACTGACTGGTTGCTAGAGGTTATAGCACACATCACAGCTCACTGATTAGTTGCTAGAGGTTTCTACACATTGTTGCTGCTCATGGATTGGTTGATAGAGGTTACAGCACATCATTAAGGCTCACTGATTGGTTGCTAGAGGTTGCAGCACATCCCCCAACCTCTCCACTCCAGTCCCCCCTCCCCCCACCTTTCTCTACATGCCTGCTCTGCACATCTTTGCACCAACCTTCCTTACCTCTGTACATCCTCTCCCTGCTAATGTGCACCCAAACTGTAATTCCTTCTCTGCCTACCTATGTGCACCCCACCCGCACTACTTTGCCTACCTTTGCAGAACAGACTGATGGTAGGCTCAGTGACCACAGTTGCAGGCAGGATGGTCAAGCATGCCCCTGTTTACTTCCCCAGTGGGCAGCATTCATCAGAGGTGATTGTTGATAGGACCTCAGGGGGGGCATAATATGCATATGAATGCCACCACCAGTATTTACATATGAATGTCACCACTATTGACATATCAATGCTGGCTATTTACATGTGAATGCTGACATAATCTGGGTCATCTCTACACTGCAATAAGGCAGAGCTGGACAGTAAAAGTGACAGCACTTCACACTGAGATATCAGGATACAGCACAGGAGGAAGACTTCAAGGGACAAGGGTATGTAAACTAAGACAATTGGCAAATATGGGGAAGCTGCTTTGTGCCCCACAAAAAATGACTGGGCCCAGGGCAGCTGCCCCTTTTGCCCTGCCTTAAAGATGGCCCTGGTCCTCTCATTGTGTATATTACACTCCAGTACCTAATACAAGATAAATACAGTGTGCCTGTGGACTGTGTGGTGGTTTCCCCCAGCCCAGTATATTCTTCTTAGGCCCCACCTACACACTTGACTAAAATTAATTGTGTACAGATAAAATATTGTCTGATTGACCAGTGTCTCATACCAGTGTTATGATTTACTCCGTGGCCAAAAACCATTCAGCCCTAAATTAACACCTTCATAAATGAACACACATTTGCTAATAAAAAAAATAAGGGAAAAGCTACCACAGATGTCAGATATATGGGTTCCTGTACACCATCTTTTGTTACTGAAAAAAACATCTCTTTTCCAGAAATGGTCACTTATGTTGGAAACCATGGAACTCTGACAGTAATTATCAACAACGCATTGCTGCAGGTTAGTGAAAAATAATATAGTAAACATAGAATCAAAGTAGTGAAATTAAGTTGCTCACATGATCTCTTAATTTTTTTGCAGCATTACAAAAATGGAATCATACATAATCTCCATCATAACTGCAGTCCTGATTACTTAAATCATGCCGTCTTGATAGTAGGATATGTGAAAAGTAAGAAAAAAAGTATTAATAATTCATATATAACACATTGTCAACTTAGACCAGGGGTTTCAAACTCAATTTCATTGCAGGCCACATCAGAATTATGGTTGCCCTCAAAGGGCCAGTTGTATCTGTAAGTCTAGATGTCCATAGCACCCCACTCCCCTTACATCAGATGTCAAGAACCCCCCCTCCATCAGAAGTCAAGAGTCCCCCACCCTCCCTTACATCACAGTTCACCTCCCTTACCTTGTACTGCAGCTGGGAAGAAGCTGAGGATGGAGCTGGGAAGGGGAAAGTGCAGGGTCTGGAGGAAAACCAGAGGAGGCATGGAGTCAGCTGACGAAATCTGCTGATTGCTGAGCGGTGGGGGTGAGGTGGAGACGAGGGGGGTGCTTCAGCTGCAGAAAGGCGCAGGGTTTGCAGAAGGAGTTATGTCCTCTATGCAGAGAGGGGGGGCCGCTGGATGAAGAAGCGCAGGATCTGGTGAAGGAATTCTGTCCTCCTCTCTGTTGCCAACTGTTGAGACAATTTAGGGCAGAGATGAGGGGGGTGCTGCATCTGCAGGAGAGGTGTGAGGGCCACATAAAATAGGCTGGCAGGTTGGATTTGGCCAGTGGGCCTTGTGTTTGACACATGTGATTTAGACATATGTACAAAAAAATGTTTTTTGCTTTTTTTTATTAGATAGTCCAGATCTAGAACAAGATAATTCAGCAGTTGCATGATTAAACTAAACTTAATACCCCATTAAATAAATATTTTGGAGTTGTTTTATCTGTCAAATTATTTGCATTTCCGTCTGTCCATTACTGAGATAAATATAACCCTGCTAACCAGAGTTGGGATAATGAGCTGACTTTTCTGTACAGAAGTTAAGAAATATAGCCAGGATTTATCTCTACCACCCACCTGTGATTGGACAATGAAATTGAAAATTCAGCTTTAAAAAAAAATCAATAAAAAAGATAACCTATACCTTTCCTCATTACAGGAAATTGTATACTGTAAAATAAAATATTAGGACTGCTGTACAGACAATTGGCTTCAAGAGTTAGTCCATCCAAAAATGACATTTTAGTAGATCATTGCAGACTGATGTAGCACTACCCTGTTAGGAGTTGCAAGAGATTTGGGTCCCCCTATAGTCATGCAGAGCCAGGCAGCACACATTTTCTTCACTTGCACCAGGAGACAGTAACAGTCCTTGAGCTTTGTTTTGAGGTTTTATTAAGGGGTTGAACTTGGATGGGGTAAGGGGTATAAGGGATGCCCAAGGGAAATGGCAACTGAGGACAAAACGCCTTAGCAACTAAGTAAAAGTCTTTACAGCAAAGTCTGTCTTCTGGAGAGCTAGCCAGCATCTGCTGTAGTACCACCCTCAGACCCAAGATGACTCTTCTCATCCAGCTGTACTAGGTGAATCCCTAGGCAGGGGATCCAGTGCTGCCACTGCAGTGTGAAACAGTCCTGGGTAAGATAGCAAATCTATTTCCCCACTAGAGTGCTCCTTTCCCCTTACTGGTCCAGGGGGTGCAGGTTTACTCACTTGGTCCCTCTCCTGTGCTGCCAGTGTCTGCTACCAGGTCTTCTAGCTGGGCCACTTCTTCCCTGCCACATAGGTGGTACTCTCTCAGGGGGCCTCTTAAGTCCAAGTTTTCAGCCCTCCAAGGTTCTCTGCCTGTACTGCAGGTGAGCCTCTCTCCATCTGGGCCCCCCTCACAGGCTCCAGCCTCATATCCTTCTCTCTCTTCCACCAGAACTCTCCTGCTGATGAGCAGGCTCAGTTACTCGTAAAGGCTGTCCCGTCCCCAAGCCAAGCCTCCTGTTGGGGAATGGCCAGAATCCTCTAAGAGTACAGACCAGCCACTCCTCATATCTGCCTACTGCTTCAAGACCTTTCTCCAAAGTTCTAGAACAGGGGGAAATTACAGAGAGCTGGTATGCAGAGCTTTTCAGCTCTGACCACAATTTGACCCTCTGGCTCTTACACCTGAGCTACTACTCAGCCCTTCTAAATGACAATTAAGGCTTTAGCTCCCTCAAGCTTCATAGGAGGGTGCTACACTGCGTTGGTCCCTGTGACCCTATATATCTTGGGTACTCAAAATGTAAGCTCTCCCTGACATAATTATTGACATAAAAGGGTATTTTTGCCCATGTTTGCATGGTCCAGCATCTCCTGTTGCATTCTCTTTATACTATAAAAATGCATTAAATGCCCATTATTACAGTTGGAATCTGCTCATAATGGTCACGTCATGTGAGCAGACTCAAGCAGACTTTTGGCTGGACTGACCCTTTAAAGGGGAAACTATTATGTAATTTCAATGAGTACACGTGATTTTTCCAAACTGGTTCTAATTGGCCTAATGTGGGTTATAAAAATATTATCTGCACTGGAAAACCACTATTTCCAGGCCTAAACAATAACTCAAATCAAGATGGGTACATGTCTTTTTATAATATTGAATTCAGAAATTTTTTTTTCTCAACTTGTTTTAAAAATTCCATGCAATCTGGCAATTCTTTCCTGTTGCCAGTGACAAGAAGTAGGTAAAATGTGAAAGTGATTCTTCAACCACTAGCACAAATAAGGAAAATTCCCCTCTTTCCCTCCCAGAATGGCAACCTGGCAGTTGCCCTGTTGTTTTGGTTTATTCTGTATCAAGATTGAAAAAGCATAGATTGGACTATTGTTGTTAGCTATGCTACTATATGAAGAAAGGACATTTGGGTAATCTAAATGAAAGATATTTGCAACTGTCATATTTTGGTAATAGGCACATTTACAGTAATTCTTTATATTCACATGGTTTGTTGGTTGTGCTTGAGCACCACCCACATCACAACTTTACCACGTATGTACATTTTTTGTTTTTAATGATATGAGACTTATTTTACAGAAAAACAGATACCTTACTGGATTGTGAAGAACAGCTATGGTCCTAACTGGGGAGAGAAGGTAAACACTGCAATTCATCTGATGTTTTTTTACTTATTAAGCCTTACCCCACACCTGTGTACAAAATGGAGCAGTTTAGAGTATCTAACATGAGGTATAGTTTCCAGTGGAGTGTCAGCAGTAGGTAATAAGTCCAATACAGTCCCTTCTGCTATTTCTAATTCTTCTTTAAAAATCAGTAAAATAAAAACTTTAAAACAAGACATCCCAGATCTCTCTAGCTGCTTTTACTATGAAGTTTTTCCTTCTCAAACATTCTTAAAGATCACAACAAAGAATCTAAAGTTGGGTTTCAGTTGTTTGCTAGTCTTGGAAACATCTGCTGTATGTTTACAGTAGAGGGCTGCAGACTGCCAAGATCTGTTCTCATTAAAAAAAAAACTGTGCCTACATCATGAATTTTGATAATTAATTTCTTCACAATGCTTACAGATACAGAGATAAATCAGGTCTTGTTTTAAAGGCATTTTAAAACAACCTCAGATTGGCTATTTATTGTAGAAGAGTCATGCAATGTCACTTCTGCAATAAACTACACATACTTGCCTCCTTGCAGTCTTCTGTGGCATGTAAACTGAGCTGTGCTGTGGCTTAGACCAGCGGCATCCCTGTGTGCCAGGTTGACTGACAGCTGCGCATGCACAGGAGTTACATCATCCAGCACCGTCTAATGAAGATATCTGAAAAACAGCACCTGGAAGGAGCCCGAGAGAAGATGTCAACACTGGTGAGGGACCGTTAGAGAAGAGGTAAGTATGATGCATTTAGTTCCTCTTTAAAATACATTTATTGTTTACAGAATATGTAAATAGTTTACAGTGCATGACCTGGGCACAGGTTTACTTTAATGCAGATAAACTTACTAGTGACTGTAAAGATTAAAAAAAAAAACTTTCTATAAATAATTTTAACTTTATATACTTATGTACATGGGAGCCAGGATTGCCCTCTGTCCACAACATTTACTGACAAAAAGTGGGAAATGTATTGACAGAGCACATTTTTTTGTGCTGACAGCTTGAAATATGTCAAAAGTATACAGTATAAACATCATGTAAAAGTTAACAATACCCACAGTGTGACAAAATGTTAGCATGACTCACTATTACGCTCCAAGGTTCAACTACACAGGTGCAATAAAAGCTGCAAAACAGACTTGACATGCATTTTACTTTTTGCTGAAAATCTCATTATGTGTATACTCATCTTACTGTCTTCCAGTGCTTACTGTATAACATATTTTTGCAGTAAATTTCTTTTGAAATATAACATGTTATTTTTTTTTAATTCACAGGGGTATTTTAGGATTTTTCTTGGAAAAAATATTTGTGGAATTACAAAATACCCATTAGCTGCCACTGTGAAAAAAGAAAAAAGTACCCACCCCTCATAAGCATATCATAGATATATTCTTACATGTATCAGTGTATATGCAATGTCAGTAAATGGCGTAAATATATTAAAGTGGTTCTAGAAAAAGGTTTGTCATTTTGCCATCATTTCACAGAAGTTCTAACTTTTTTGAGAAATGTGTGACTTCCTGTTCAAACCTGTGAGCTATCTACAAAGTAACAGCATTTGTTACCTGGTCTCCTCCTTTTGCAAAATACAAAATAAAGAAAGAAAACAATCAATGAAATAACAGTTTTTTTCTTTTAAAGCAGAAATCCAGCCCCACTGCATAGGTTAAATGATTGTTTTGTTCTAGGGGAGAGGACACCAAAGATATACTCACCTGACCCACGATCCTCCCTATACAAGATAGTCCTTTTGGCTTCTTTCTTCTCCTCCTGTGGTCCAGTGGGCTTGTAAATGGGACTGTTCCTGATGTCAGCATGCTCAATGTGAGTTCCACAGACAGGAACAGTCCACTGCTGGACCGCGGGGGAGCGCGGTTTTCCATAGGACCAGTGGGTCAAGTGAGTATGAGCTTAGTCCCCACCCCTATATAAAACAAGCAGCTGATCTATGTAGTGGGGACACAACCCCACTGCATGGTAAAAAAAAAGAAAAAAATTAGGGGAATTAGGCTTCATCATAAGGCCTCCTGCACACTGAACATTTTTGCAGCTGCTCCTAGGGGCCTCTAGCGGTTTGTTTTCTGCCTCAAAACTCCCCTGCATGTTAGCCTATGTGTCAATGCACACATACATTTTTAGAGGCCTTTAGTGGCAGGCGAGGTTAGAGACAAGAAAAAAACCCACTGCCAGTGCATCTAGTACCAGCAGAGTTTTGGCAGAAAATACACTTGACGCCTCTAAACACATGTAAGCACGCAATTATGGTAGGTGCGTTTAGCACTTGAGCATCAATTCATATCAATGGCCAGAATAAATGATTACACATCGAAAGGTCCTTGTCATCTTGTTTTGGAATATTTATAGTTTGGAAGCAGTGCATAGTGATTATATGGGCGTATTGGACCAGGTACAAACAGCGCTTATGGTTAAGATGGCTGCCGCTGCCCCGAGGCCAGAAGCTGGCTTGAGCTCCAGGGATGGGATGTAATGTATTGGCTAGGAAAAACACTGCCTCAACTAGTTTAGTCTGGACAGGCACATATACGTGTGGTGTAATTGTAAGGTTTTATATGGTTTAAAGTGGTTCTAAAGTCTCTATGCATTCTATGCATTAAGGTAAAAAATCTTCTATGTAAAAGAATCCCCCCTACCTCTTGTTATACTTACCTGAGCCCCATCGTGATCGAACGCTGTACATGAGATCTACAGCTCTCATGGCATTGTCCTTCCTCACTAGGCAGATCGATAGCAGCAGGAGCCATTTGCTCCCACTCCTGTCAATCAACTCCAGTGGTACGGGAGGCGGAGCTGAATCCAGCTCTCTGTTTCAATGGACGCAGCAGCGGGACTGCATGAGTGCTGAATTGGCTTCCTATTGGGGGCACCATCAAGAGAGAAGGAACCAGGAGCACCGGTGGGGGAACCAAGAAGAGGAGGATCAGGGCCACTCTGCCATTCTATTGCACAAATCAGGTAAGTATAGATGTGTTTGGGTTTTTTTTTCCTTTACAACCACTTCAATAAAGTTGCCTGCTTTTCGCAATGAACCTTTTCCCTAATACTATTTTTTGAGTGGCGGTGTATTGCATTGGAAGGAATCCTGGTACATGTGAATGGTTAAGTTGGTGACAAGATACATTGGGTCCAGTCAAAAAAGGGCAGTGAGACCTACCTAGTAATAAAAGGTCCATTCATTGAGGTGGGTGTAAATCCATGTGGGTCACCTGGAGCACCTGCAAGTGGTCAGGTGTTTATCTGTTACTAATGGCACCAGCACCTGTTCACCTACCTTTTGTTTTTTAAGCAATTATTATTTGAATGGGTCTTATTGATACAGTTGCAAGAAAAAGTATGTGAACCCCTTGGGATTACGTGGAGTTTTGCATGAATTGGGCATAAATGTGCTCTGAATGTCATCTAAGTCACAACAATAGAAGAACACAGTCTGCTGAACATAATACTACACAAAAATTAGATGTTGTGATGGTTTAATTGCACATGCAGGGAGGAAAAAGTATGTGAACCTTTGGACTTAATAACTGGTTGACCCTCCTTTGGCAGCAATAACCTCAACCAAACGTTTCCTGTAGTTGCAGATCAGACCTGCACAACGATCTGGAGTAATTTTGGACCACTCCTCGTCACAAAACTGTTTCAGTGTAGTAATATTCTTGGGATGTCTGGTGTGAATCGCTCTCTTAAGGTCATGCCACAGCATTTCAATTGGGTTGAGGTCAGGACTCTGACTGGGCCACACCAGAAGGCGTATTCTGTGCTGTTGCAGCCATTGTTTTGTTGAATTACTTGTGTGCTTGGGGTCATTGTCCTGTTGCATCACCCATCCTCTGCGGAGCTTCAGTTGGCGGACAGATGGTCGTACGTTTTCCTACAAAATGTCTTGATAAACTCTGGAATTAATTTTCCCATCAATGACAACAATCCGTCCAGGCCCTGAGGCAGCAAAGCAGCCCCAATCCATGATGCTCCCTCCGCCATGTTTTACAGTGGGCATGAGGTTTTGATGTTGGTGTGCTGTGCCTTTTTTTCTCCACACATAGTGTTGTGTGTTCTTCCCAAACAACTCAATCTTGGTTTCATCTGTCCACAGTATATTTTGCCAGTAGTGATGTGGAACATCCAGGTGCTCTTTTGCAAACTTCAAACGTGCTGCAATATTCTTTTTGGACAGCAATGGCTTCCTTCGTGGTGTCCTCCCATGTACTCCATTCTTGATTAATGTTTTCCTTATTGTAGATGTGTCAACAAAAATGTTTGCATGTGCCAGAGATTTCTGTAGGTCTTTAGCTGACACTCTGGGATTCTTCTTTACCTCATGCAGCATTCTGCGCTGTGCTCTTGCAGTCATTTTTACAGGACAACCACGCCTAGGGAGAGTAGCAACAGTGCTAAACTTTCTCCATTTGTAGACAGTTTGTCTTACCGTGGACACATGAACATCAAGGCTTTTGGAGATACTTTTGTAACCCTTTCCAGCTTCATGCAAGTCAACAATTCTTGATCGTAGGTCTTCTGAGAGCTCTTTTCTGCGAGGCATGGTTCACATCAGACAGTGCTTCTTGAAACCAGTAAACCCAAAACAGGTGTGTGTTTGTTTTTTAAGGGCAGGACAGCTGTCAGCAACACATCCAATATTATCACACTGATTGGAGTCAAGGTTGGCTCACTCCTGGCTTCAATTAGCTCTGGGATAAGTCATTAAGTGTCAAGGTCCTACCTTTTCCCAGAGGTTATGTGCTGGCATCCATCTTGGATTTCTGCTGAGCATGATGGGAATCTTTTATGCCTTCAGGTCTCTGAGGTCCATCCCCCAGAGGGGTGTGGCTGAGTACATATAAGCCTGGGATCTGCACATGCTCTTTGCACTTGTGTCTTGTGTCTTTGTCTTGCTACAGCTCTGTGTATACGCTTGTGACTCTTCTGGTATTCTGACTCGGCTTGTGACTAAGACCATTCTCTGTGTTTCCCTTCGATCTGACCTTCCGTTGCTGAACCCGGCCCGTGACCTGTGATTCTCTGTCTACTGTTCTGTACTGTTTTGTCCCGTTGTTGTTGACCCGGCTTGCCTGACTACGCTATTGTCATTCTCACCAGCTACACGCCATTGGCGGCGGCCATTACCGCAGCCGGGGTGTCTCGGGGGCCGCGACCTGGTTCCTAGCTGCGTCAAGTCCATCCCCACCATCAGGGGCCCTGGTGAAGGGCAGCCTGGGACTTAGACTCTGCGCCCTGAGGGACTTCGGTCTGTTGGTGGTGGTTGTCGTCAGCCAGTGTGTTACCCTGCCACTAGGCCTACCTGTCCGTTCCACAGCCCTGCCCTGACATTAAGCTAGGGCCTCACATACTTTTTCCTCCCTGCACTGTGAATGTTTACATGTTATGTGCAATTAAACCATGGCAACATCTAATGTTTGTGTAGTATTATGTTCAGCAGACTGTGTTCTTCTATTGTTGTGACTTAATTATTAAGTTTCCTTAATTATAAAGAACCTTGTAATTTTCTTTTAACATCCCTAGCACCCCCTTAACCCTACAATTCTGGCTAATTTTAGCCATAAGTATGAAGAACTGGACAGAAAAAGGAAACAAAATAAGGAAAATATCAATTATTACATTTTAAAATTTGGTGCTGCGTCTTTTATCCTGCTACCCTAGGCATTGGATGGAAGTAAATGCAACCTGGCTCCTATGGATTACACCTAGATACCGAACGTTTTCCAGTTTGTTTCCATTACTTAGAATTGTGTTAAAGTAGGTATGGGAAGGCATAGATGAAACAGATGTTAGAGGTTCAAAGGAAGAAGAAAAGGAGCCAAGACAATGCAGTACTAGGGGAAATCCAAATGGTTGGTGAACAGTGGCCACTGCTACCCAATCTGGTGAGTATACAGGCAAATCCATCTGAATTCTGGAATGGACCCTGGTTTTGAATAACCAGTCAAAGATAAACTAACCAATAATTTGCTGTTTGGTGGATTAAAATAGGAGTAATGTGGGATAGCCAAGGACCTATATTTCCCAAGTGTCAACAAATGTGAAGATTACATTTTCTGCTATTTTATTATTTTACACAAGTGCTAGTTTATGAAGATAAAAGTGTGGCTTTTCTCTCAAAACAATGGGCTCTACCTACAATGTAAGAATATCTATTTCAAGATCAGTAGCCATTCAGTAAATTATGTCTAAAGCTAATTTTTCTATTTTCAATAGACTATGGAATGTTTTTTTCACATCTATTTCCCATTGGTTTGCCCTCTATTGTGTGGAGACAATGAACATTTTAGGATTTTCCCTCACTTTCTTT